ATCTAAACCTCCAGGACTACGTCTGCTGGGAAACAAATTACGTAAAATTGGTATGAGATACTCCCTTAAAAACTCAAGATACGTTGCCCAGTTTAAATTACCTTCGATAAAGTAGGGTCCGATGATTCGATTTCTTACAATTGCAGACCATACATTTACCTTTTGTGATTGCGTATTGTGTATGATGCTCACGCATCCAGTGGGGTTTTTCTTTTGCCCAGTATCTACAATTCAGACTGTTAACCTCGCCAATTATCGTAAAAGTGACCTCATCAGAAAAAATAATGTTTTGTGCCAAGAGAGGGTCTCGGTGGCAGTTATCCATCATTGCTTCGCAAAATTGGACTTTTCTTCTATCGAAATCATCTTCGTTTAATTCCTGCACAAGTTTTATTTTAAAAGAATGCCATTTTTCAAGCTTTAATAGTTTGTGTACCGTTGTTTTGCTAACATCAATATCGCGATTAACTTTACGCACAGAAGTGTGCGCATCTTTTTAAAAACTAAAGAAAACATCTAATGCTATATCAGCATTTACAGAGGGACGACCTGATTTCCGTGCATTTTCAACCGTACCAGTTTCTCGAAATTTCTTTTCAATCTTACTGAATTACTAAACAAATAATGTCATTTATAAAAAAACAGCCTACTATGTTTCTTTTAAATTGATAAGAAATAATTTCTTTCATATTGTGTCCGCTAGACAATAATTATTTTTGAGTCACCAGATTTCAATTCTTTGGATTATTTTATGTGGGGCCATCTGAAGAATATTGTGTATCAAACGAAACAGGCAAATATTCAAGAATTACAACAGAGACTTGGTACAGCAATAAACAATATTTCTCATGGCAAAATAAACAAGGTCCAACAAGAATTTATACAACGTTTGGGTTACTGTCAAATATAGCAAGGGCTGCAGTTCGAACATTTATAAAGTCATGTATTTCAACATATTCTGTCCGCTAGACAAGAAGTATTTTGTTTTAAATAGAGCACCAAAATGGTGGTGTTCTATTTAAAAAAAAATTTCGGTGACGTCATTACTCAAAAGTAATTCACCCTGTACATTAGAATATTATTTTAAAATAGAGTAAATTAAAATTAAAAATCGACGTGTTTTAGGATTAAAATTCCCTGTTTAAATTCACTGTTAAAATTTCTTAAAATGCCCTGTTTAGCTAAGAAATAATTTGTTCCATACTTTACGGACACAGTGTATAAGACAATCATTTACAAATTAAGTGTTATGGGCATACCTCGAGATATTACAGTAAAAAAAATGAATAAAAACTATAACAAACACAAAAGATAACAAAAATTAATTAAATCTAAATTTACAAAAATACAAAAAGGTTACAGAAATGAAAACATAAAAATTTAACCAAACCGCACTTGGCTAAGTGGATTAACTATCTCGCACTATTATTTAATGATAAACTGACAGTAATGTTCATAATTATTATTTATTGAAATTTCTTGAATTTATTGAAATGTTCTTTAAATTAAATACAAAAAACAGCAATCTAATGGTGAAGACATGGAGGAACTTTAGATATGTCCACATAATGGAGGATGATATGTTACCATACCATATTACTCGCCCAGATAATTTGAAGATAATGATTACTTACAGTAAATATTGATGACTGGTTCACTAGGTACTTCAAAGAAGTTATATACTGTACTTAATACTTTACATGTATCAAACACTAAATTTAATTACCATTAAAGGTACTTTAAAACCATATATAATTTAATATAGTATAAGAAAGGAAAACTCAATTATAAAGTGTATACACACTTAGAAAATAATTCACAGACGGTAAAATAACAGATACGATATGAGCGAAGCGTCTCACGAGAAATCAACCTTTCTTCGCAACGGCCCACCGATAAGTCAGTATTTCTTTTCCAAGATTTACCAAACTCACAAAAAAAGAAGAAATCAAAGATCATAGGCCAGTTGTATGTAGTTCTGAGAAAATAAGGTCTTAACGACTATTGGAAAGTTTGGGGTAAATAATCGGTACCAGTAATTGGACGTGATCAACATACAATCCTTTGGATAAGGTTTTTCCTGAAAAACATTACAACTGCGTTCGAAGACAATTACCAATTTATGAAAAAGAACCCGGAAAAGGATTAACTAAGAATTAGTTTTTAAATAAATACGTAGGTAGATCTTCCGTCATGTTTTAGTAGTTACCCATTAAAAATTTCTGATCGTAAACACGATCATCGGCGTATCATCACGGGGGTAAAAGTAATTAAAAATAATTTAATATAATATAAATAAAAAAAGTGTTACAGAAGTATATCTTCCTTCTGGAGTATTTTGTTGCGCTCCTTCTATTGGAGTTAGTAGCCAAGGCTGTAAAAGATAGCCAGAATCACCTAAAAATATATTTAACAATTATTTATTCAAAAAAAAAACAAGTATAGTATTTATACCCAACAACCAGAATCCTCGTTCCTCATGATTGTATCGTTCTTCCATATGTAAAGAAATTCTAGACATGTTCCATATGGCCGAATCATGCACGGATCCATTTCGACAGAATAAACGCCGTCGAAATCAATTTTGATTTACGATTTCGATTGTAGAAATGAAAAAAGTTATAGAATATCATTTAGGACCATTTCTATTCGACTTGACAATTTCGATTCGATTTTACCCATTTCTATCATCGAAATGAGTTATGGAATAGCTCCGATTGACAATTAAGTCAACGACTGATTAGATGTAGTATTTTTAATCAGTAGTCGACACTATATGTTTTCTTGGAAAATGAACTTTCAAAGAATCAAACTGATGTAGTAAGTAATAGCTTATTAATCTACCAATTAAGTACTATTGATGATTTATCTAATATAAGGCTTTAAATCTAATATCCTAAATATATATTCAACTTACCTTCTTAACACTTTTCATCATGATACTATGACTAACAAGATAAGATCTTTCCGTAGCACACAATCGGTCGTGTTTGCGCATGCCGTCATTGGAGAGTAGAATTTGAATTCTTGTTAAAGTTAAATGGGATTTGTATGCATTCTGTAATGAAATTACTAGACGAAAATAAGTTAATAAGTAAGAGGTTTAATAATTATAATAATCGTACAATAAGGATATCTCCAAACTATTTTGTCGCTGAGGCGAATGCACGAAAGGCTGTAGATCGCCTTCAGTCGCTCTGTCCGCTAAGGCAGACGATCTGAGATTCCGCTGTGATTCCATTTGTATCTGAAACGACTCAAGACAAAAGGGAAAACAGGGGAAAAAGAAATAAGAAATGAAAGACACGAAGACAAGTTGTTTTATTTTTAATAACTTGTGGCCGTAGTTGTCAGTTCGTCACCTTTTGTCCCTCTGGAAGAGTATCTCGAAGTTCCTCTACGGAAGACGTGTGCGACCTGGTAGAAATGGTTGGAACACACTTCTTGCTCGTTCCGAGTTGCTCCCTCACAATACGCTGTACAAAAGTTTTAATTTCGGAAACCGTCTTTAGTACACGTATAGAATGGGTTAACAACTCACTGGTCAAGCTTAAAAAGGCGTGCTTTGTTGATATGCCGCTGTGGCAAAGCAGAAGTACGAACTAGAGATGGGGGATCGAATACTTTTTTAAAGATCGATTCTCGGTACTCGAATACATACAGGAATCGAGTACTTGACCGAGTACCGAGTACTGGATTAGGACAGGCTATATCTAAGACTAGACGTGACGCATACTCGTTTTGTACTAGTTGGAGTAGGGTTAGAAATTAGAATAGTTTTCACGACTTATAATCTAGGTCATCCTGGTTTTTTTAATTTTGATGGGTCTACCCAAATTTTTTTATGTATTTTTGGATGCTGATTACGAATTTCGAGGGTGGATTTCGATCCGAGTGGTTAAACAATTATTGTTATAAACAATTTAATTTATTTAAATTTAATTTATTTGTTTATACTGCACTATATCGTAAATTAAGAGATAAAAAAATGTTTTTTAAAAATAAATTTGTTACTTAAAAAACAATGAAAATGGCGTTTACTAAACTTTAATCAAATTGGCAAATGAGGGTGCTGTTGATATTTAAGTGTATATATAAGCCATTAGAATTTCAAAAATTAAACCTTTGTTTTATTGTGTTAACCTGTTTATATTGTTAATCCTTTATGTCTGATATCTGTTAAATGGAATACCTAAGTACTCTATTCCACAATATCTGAAGCATGATATTTGCATGTGCATAAAAATTTATTGAAATTAGATATACCTTATACATCTATAATGAAAATGTCAAATATATTAAATTTAGTAAATGAGTTACAAAGATATTCTATGTCTGATCTGTAATTATTAAACACTAAAATTATGTAGTAATTACTTATATTTAAATTTATTTTTACAAACTTTTGTAATATCTCAAGCTTCAATAAAAATGTTCTTTTTAAAATTGATTTGGGTCAAAACATTAATAATCTATATTTGAGTATAAACTTTTATTAGGGAACAATTCAAGTGACTGCCCATAAAAAATAATCTAAATAAAGAGACTGGTTATATCCTTACAAAACAATATTTTGCCTAACCATCGAAATAAATAATACAGATATTGTAAAAACAGATGAAGAAGCTGTAACATCTGTTTTACATTTGCTTAATAGTTGTGCGAGACTATGACGGAGAGTTGATCTTTTCACAAATAAAATCTTTTTGAGAACAAAGGACACAAAGCAATAAATCAGACAGGTTGAAATATTGGGTGAGATTCAAAAACTTTAACGCACACGTATATCAAATCGCACTATTGCAGTAAATTGCACTGCTCGGGGTCTTACGATGGTATTACTGTGTCAGGACTCTTTATTGTCGATTTCTTTCGTATTTTTTTTTATTGTTAGTTTTTGTTCTTCCGCTTTGTAAGAGATATTTTGGTCGTGAGTTTATTGATATTTCAATAGTGAGTTATTTAGTTTTTTGTAGTCAAATATACTCTTTAACTTAAATATGAAGCCAGGTGGAATTAAATCCGCAGTATGGGACTTTTTTAGTAAAAGTAACGATACCAAATCAGTTACATGTTCCTCGTGTAAAAACGAATTTAAGTACCGTGGGAATACCACTAATATGAAGAAACATCTTCAGAGAATGCATACTCTACGGTGGAGTGAAAATAATGCAGCACCGTTTTCATCTCTAACAGATGATGAAGAGACTCAAGTACCTAAAGTTATCGTCGGTACAGATGAAATTGCACTTGCCTCTTTACAAGAACCATGTCATTCAAAGAGAAAAGCAGAAAATGAAAATCCAGTACCCGAAAGAAAGAAGTCAAAACAATTAAAATTATTCGGTGTCCGAAATACAATGAGTTAAGCAAAAAAACGGGAGATAGACAATAAATTATTAAAAATGATCACTAACGACTATCAACCTCTATCTATAGTGGAAAATATAGGTTTCAAAGAATATACTAAAGCATTAAATAGTGAGTATGTATTACCAAATAGCAAAGTTCTAACAGAAAATATTATTCCAAAACAATATTCAGACTCTGTTTCGAAACTGAAGCAAATGTTACTAACAGTAAAGTATGTATCAATAACGACAGACATTTGGACCTCTGATAGTTGTAAAGCTTATATATCGGTTACAATTCATTTTATTTACAATGAGAAAACATGTTCTTTTAATATTGCAACTAGAGAAATAGTAGGATCTCATACAGGAGAAAATATAGGACATGTTTTAAACGAAGTGTTAGAGGAATGGCACTTATTAGAAAAAGTTTTGACTGTTGTTTCTGTTTGTGAAAATTAGTGTTTCTTGGGTTTAGGTTCAATAAAGATATATTATATGTGGAACTAGATTTTAGTTTCCATAACAATCAACGTTTCGGCAGGAAACCCTTGCTATTGTCAAGATTCAAAATGTAAAAATGTGACACAGACATTAACGAACTGTAGCTAATATGTCTTTGTAGCTAAGAACAACTAATATATCTTTATTGAACCTAAACTCAAGAAACACTAATTTTATATTATATATATATATATATATATATATATATATATATATATATATATATATATATATATATTATATATATATATATATATAATGAACTAGAAGTATTTGCTGACAACAAGGAAGTAAATTTTCAATATTGGGTTTGCAGCAATAAAAATGATACGTGTACTCTTTTAAATTTTTATTCCGAGCTTTCGGACATGGTTATGTCCTTCATCAGGGAGAAACTTAATGAGGTTGGATCATCAATGATTGTCTACAATGTCGATAAAACTTATCACAGTCTGTCATATTTTTACATAAAACTTATTCCTATATTTAAAATTTTTAAAAATTGCTTTACAATCACAAACACTTATACACACATTTCTGACATTTTTATTCTTTGTCCGAAAGCTCGGAATAAAAATTTAAAAGAGTACACGTATCATTTTTATTG